AATACATGCAAACCCTGCATTGCAAGTACAACTGGAATGTAGAATTTTCAAGTTGTTGATGATATGCATCATATTGGGCCAAATAAGGTATTGGCACCGAGTTGTTCAACATCCTTTTTTCACTTATGCAAACACGATCTACGTGTTTAAAATAATACATATAACAGTTTTTTTTCACTGTATTTCTCTGAATGACGTCTCACCCTGTGCTCTGCCTTCTGTGCAGGTCTAAAATCTCAGCCTCAGCAATATTCCAGAGTCCAGGTTGTTTCTGTATCACCTCACTGGTACTGGTACAACAATTAGAAGAAATAAATCACAATGCAGTACTTTACAAATGTGTGAAGTAAAATGTTTTCAACGGGACACTTCAGGCACCAACACAACTTCATTCAAATTAAGTCGTTTGGATATCAGGATGCCCCCGGAGGGGATTACCTCTACGTTGCTTCCAGCGTTGGTCTAAACTCTTCCCCTAGCAACATCCGGCTTCAGAATTTTGAAATTCAGGAAGAGCGGAGTTCTGTCAGAAAGCTGAGCACTCTCAGCCAAATCAGTGGCGCCTCCCCCGGCAGCACTCCGCGGTTCCTGAATTGTAAAGTTCAGATGGCAGATGCTGCCAGGGGACGAGTAGAGACCAGATCTAGAGGCAACTTATGGGTTAAACCATTTGAGAACAGTTTAACCTCTTGAGATAAGAGTGCCCCTTTTAATAGGTTAATAACAGTTTGCCAGCCACTGGCATGTCAAAATCCAGCTAATAAAACACAGTCTAAAATCCACATGCAAGGCAAAGTTTAGTTAATAATAAAAAAAAAAAAACAGTCTAACAGCCACAGCCGTGGCAAAGTCCAGTTAGAGGGACACTATAGGCACCAAGACCACTTCTTCCCATTAACCCTGCATTGTTAATTATTGCAGTTTCTGTTCTCCTCCTCTAGTGGCTGAATAACATTAAATGACGCAGTTCGTCCTCACACTGTGCATGAGAACATCCAGCGTCATTGAAAACCCAGTAGGAAAGCTGCTTTCCTTAGGAAATGCCCTAATACGTGTCGTGGTTTCATATTCATATTCACATAATCACTATAAACCAGGCGTGTCCAACTCTGAGCCGCTTGTAATGCAGCCCATTTGCCGTCCGGGCTGCTACACTCTAGCCCTCAGTTAGGGAGGCTGGGTGGCCCTCATAATTACTAAATGTGTGTGTGTATGTGATTAATTTATATCTCTGATTATGTATATACATGTGTATGTCTTTAGCAGATAGCTCCCTTATTTGGCATCCTTAAATATGGCAATCCCACATAAGGATAACAAATAAGGGAGTTATCTACTAAACCAGCATTTCCCAAACCAGTCCTCAAGACCCACCAACAGTCCAGGTTTTGTTAGTATCTCCATTGGAATAAGATCGGGAAATACATAAATCCTGGATTGTTGGTGGGCCATGATGACTGGTTTGGGAAGCACTGTACTGAACAAATGAAATATATAAATAAACCCCTTAAGGACTGAACCAGTTGTACAAGTTCTAGTCAAAACAAAAACTAGCAACTTGTGCTATAAGTTTGATCAACCATAATTTACCTCTTTCATATTAACTGTAATTCTATTAAATATAATTTTGTTCAGTAGAAATAGGGCTTTCATTTCACATCAAGTGAAACAATTTAATATGAATAAAATCTAACACAAGTTGTGAAATTAAGAAATGTTTTCACTTTTTTTTCTGCATGGTATTTTAACTGTGAATGTCATAATACTGTTAGCTTTCACTGCAATAAAACACACAAATTTGTATTCAGCAATGTCTCACAAGCACAACTTATGTACAGGCTTTGTGGGGTTTTGGAAAGTTACAAAGTGGGCCTGATTTCCCGAAGGGTGTTGCCTGGGCAGTCAGCCAGTCCCTCGGAAGCAGATCGCAGGATAGGCAGGTATTGCGGAGTCATCAGGATTCAGCTTAACAGCCCATTAAAATGCGGACAGCATATAACACCGTAACAGCGTTAAAGGGACGCTATAGTCACCCAGACCACTTCAGCTCAATGAAGTGGTCTGGGTGCAATGTCCCTCAGGTTTTAACCCTTCACATATAAACATAGCACTTTCATAGAAACTGCTACGTTTACATTAGGGGTTAATCCAGCCTCTAGTGGCTGTCATCCGGACAGACAGAGGGGCATCTGCGACGCTGGAGGCACATTTAGCCTCCATCGAGAAGAGCGTCCATAGGAAAGCATTGAGAAATGCTTTCCTATGGACACTTTGAATACGCACGCGGCCATGGGCATTCAGCTTCAGTGACATCGGACAGGGAGGAGAGGTCACCAGCGCCGAGGGAGCCTGGCGCTGGATTAAGGTAAGTAATTGAAGGGATTTT